CGGCCTCTTGGCGCGCTCGGAAGGATCGACGCTCGAGGAGAGGCGATTCGCCGCTGCCCTTGGCTCGGACGGCCGGCCGGCTGCCCAACCTCTGCAGGCTCGCGACGGGGGCTTGCTGCCGAAGCTGGCTGCGCTGCCTAGCCTGGGCGACCTGCCGTCGCTGTACGGCGCTGATCCGCGGGAGCGCAAACGGGCGCACGCGATTCGCTCGGCCCAGCCCCGCCTGATGCCGCTGCCGTCGCACCGAGACGGCAACGGCGAGGCAGAGGCGCTGCGGGCCAAGCGGTACCTGGGCCGGCGGTACGGCGGTACCGTGGTGGTGCACTTTCTCAAAAAGAGCGAGTGGTTCTACGAGACGGCGCTCGCGCTGTGCGGGCGGAGCAAGTCGTGGCCGGACGGCGCGGGAGGCAGCGGTACCGAGTGGAGGATGTACGGCAGCCCGCTGGTGCGCCACGAGGATGGCTACGTCTACGACGGCCGGTCGCAGCCGCGGCCCGACGTCGAGATGGCCTACCTCCAACAGGCACGGTTGCAGGCCCAGGCCAACGCAGCCCAGGCCCAGGGCCAGGCGGCACGGGTGGGCAGCTTCACCAAGCCGCGCTCGCCCGCACCGAAGCAGGGAGGCGTCGTCCCTCCACCACCACCACCGCCACCGCCACCATCGCAGCCGGCAGCGGCACAGCCTCCGACTCAAGCGGACGAGGATGCTTTCCGAGCAACGCCCTGACTGCGCTCTGCAGCCGCCCCCTTTCCCGCCTGTATCGTCGTCGTCCCCCGAGCGCGCACTCGTTTTTGCCTCGCGAACCTTTCGTCATGACATAACCACATACCTCGCGATCCTGTCGAGTCGAGTGATGTGTGTGGGCTGGCAGACTCTGCCCCTGACTGCGCCTGTGGTGCGAGCGGACACGATCGAGCGCTGGCCGGTTGGCGGTGAGGGATGAGGCCTGAGCCAGACGCAGGGAACCCTGATTTTGTGCCGAGTATCCGGAGTCTTCGATTTTTCGAAGCTTGAAAATTCGGGAGGATTCTTGGCCCCGTGCCCCCTGCAGGGCTGATGATTTCGATTGCAGATCGTGGGGAAATATTTGGATGAGACGATTTGGATTTTTCGAGAGCAGGTCGCCGATGAGCAGCCCACTTCCTGCCAGAGACCCCTCGAGGTCCAGCGCCCGCTGGGGCAGCAGATACAAAAAGGTCGACCCTGGCAAAAAGAGGAGCGCCGCTTTGGAAAATTGCCAGCGCGTCAATTTCGAGACCTAACGTTATGGGGGAATTTTGAGCATTCCGAAAACTCGAAACTTCCCTAGAGCCTGAGCCCAAGCCTGAGCTCAGAAGGGTGAGCGCGACCCTGCCAAGCAAGGCATGCCAACCAGCCCAGCCTGCCCTCCACCCCGGGCCGGCGGTCCGCTGCGACCTGCAAAAGAAAAAATCCAGCTGTTTCGAGGCGGCCTCGCAACCACCACCACCAGCCACCACCGCTATCGGCTTCCAACGGTGCCAGTGAGCGCGCGCAAGCGTCGTGTGGCTCGCCCTTACGGCCCTTGTCTCCAGCCGAACCTCCCCTCGTCGCCTTGCTGCCAGCTGCCACCCGTGATGGTGCTCCGAGCGCCTTCATGACGACGCACCCCGCAATCACGAACGCCCATGTCTTCGGCCGCCTCGCCTGCGTCGGCGGCTTCCAGCGACCGACCCTTTCGATGCACCCATCCCGGCTGCCACGCCGCCTTCCCCAAGGCGGCCAAGCTCGATCGCCATCTGCGCTCCCACAGCGATGAACGCCCGTTTGTATGCCAGCACCCGGGCTGCGATGCCAGCTACAAGCGCAGCGAGCACCTCAAGGTCCACCAGCGCCGCCACCAGGACGACAGCCAGCGCAACTTCCGTTGCACCGAACCCGGCTGCGACATGGCCTTTTGGACCTCGAGCCATCTCAAGAACCACGTCCAGGCCGTCCACCGCGACGAGACGGTCAGGATCGGCACCAGGACCTTCCGTCTGCCTGCAGCCGAAGCTGCCTCACCGCAGTCGGCCGCCTCGCCCGACACGGCATCCCTCGACGGGCTCACGGAGTACCGCTGCACCGAGCCCGGCTGCACAGAGACGTTCCACAAGCGCAAGGTTCTTCGTGCGCATATCCGTCAGGCTCACAGCGACATGGCCCTGGCCGATGCCTTGACCTCCGGGGGCGGCCAAGGGCCCGCGGACGAGGACCTGGCGCAGATGACCCTCCTACCCTTCCCTTGCTCTCATCCGGGCTGCTCGATGCGTTTCGCGACCAATGCCAAGCGGCGCTCGCACTTCAAGACGCATGAGCAGGGGCGCTACACGTGCTACATGGCACACGCCAAGCCCCAGGACGAGAGCAGTCAGGGGTCCCATGGTCCGAGCGCCCAAAGATCGGCGAGCAGCGATGGCAGCCACGGCAATGTCTACGTGTTCCCCAACTGGTCAGCGCTGCAGGAACACATGAGGCAGTTCCATCCCCCGACATGCCCATGGCCCGGCTGCGGCAAGTCGTTCGTCCGCCAGGACAACCTCCGTGCGCACTACTCGAGGCACGAAAAGAGGATGGCCAACCTCGAAGCCGAGGTCCAGCTGCAGAACTCTCCGCTGGGTGGCTCCTCCACCGCACTCCTCAGCGACGATGACGATGGTCTCGACGACGACGAAGACAACAGCAGCTCCGAGAGCGATGGGGACGAGTGGCGACCTCTGGATGGCGAAGGGCGTTCCTCGAGCCGGTCGCTGCTGCCGGCATCGACTGAGACCCACGATCTGGAAGCCCTTGCCTCGGATCTTAGCAGGAAACGGCCTCGAAGGTCGTCGTCGCGCCTATCGACGCCGGAGTCGTGCCGCTCTGCTAGATCCGCCTCGATCGGATCGCGGCAGGACGCCAGAGGTGGTGCCATCTCGCCTGCGGCCGATGGACGCGCGACGTTCGCCTGCAGCTGGAACGGCTGTGGCCGGACCTACACCCGCAAATCTGGACTCTCGATCCACATCCGCACACAGCATCTCGGGGAGCGCCCGTTCGAATGCCCCGGATGCCGCAAGAAGTTTGCGCACAAGCATCTCGTCGCGAGGCACCGTCGAGTCTGCTCCTCGATGGGGCCCCTGGCCGCCCTCCGAGGTGCGCAGCTGGACAGACACCAGGGCGGTCTCGGCGGCGTGCCGCGGGATCCGCCGCAGGACGAAGTCTCGCGCCCAGGCAGCGCATCTGCCGAGGAGCAGTCGCGGCCTGCAGCCTCTGGAGAAGAGCCCTCCACCGATGTCGAGGATAGTGAGTACGGCGAAGATGACGTCCAAACCGGCGCCGACGCTGGCAATGCCGGCGCCGACGCTGGCAATGCCAACGACGACGACGAAGTCGACGACGACTACTTCCGACGTGAGGGCGGAGCGGTGCCCGAAGCAGACGCAGAGAGGGACCATTCGCGCGACTCGCACCAGCACCCGCAGCGCTCCGACAGCGCGCTCAAGTCCCGACTGCTGGACCTGCTGACGGGCAGCGGATACCTGGATCAGAGCCACGCAACTGCCTCGAGCGTCGACGCATACGGCTCCAGCGGTTCGGTAGCCTCGGGGGAGAGGCAGGGCAAGCGCCGAAGGGCCACTCGCAACCGCATCTTCCCGTGCCCATGGCAGTCGATCGTCGAGGCTCTTCAGGCCGACGACCGAGACGAATCCACAGACGACGCCGAACGAGACCCTCAGTCGGACACGACAGTGACGGCGGCAGAGGCGGCGGCGACTGAGGCCGACCTGGACATGCCAGCCTGCTCTCACCGTTTCGGACGAATCTACGACCTTCGCAGGCACCTCAAGGCGAGCCACGGGCTGGAGCTGGAGGACCGCGAGATCCGGGGATGGCTGCACAAGCTGCAGATCGAGCGCCGGCAGCAAGGGCCCGAGGCACAGGGCGGCTCGGGCCAGCTGTCACCTCCATAGGTCGGTCGTCCGCGAAAGAGCGCACGTCCAGTCGAGACCCTTTCCGTTTGTACAACAGCCGTTTGGCCAATTCATACCCTTTCGCAGTCTCCTGCTCCGCTGAAAGTGCCACGTCGGCGGTGCGTGGACGATGTACGGTCGAGCCAAGAGGGCCACGCCGAGCGGAGCGGAGGCAAGCCTTGGCCTGACGTTCTCGTGCGAGAAGAAAAACGGGCAAGCGCGTTTTGTGGAGCTGGAGCGAAGGTCGCGACGGTGATCGCTCGGCTGGCAGGCCAGCAGGCAGCCTCCCTGGCTAGGAAGCCAGAGAAGAGGGCTGGCGGCAGCCAGACAAGGGAGCTCACTTCGCGTTTTCTCCCCTTTGCGCCCATCGCTGCCTGCACCCCACCACCATCGTCCTCCATCCTGTTCCAGATACCCGGCGCTCGTCCCGTTCCTTCGCTCTGCTCTCTCCCTCCTTCGCCAGCACATCAGTCCCGCTCGGAGCACGCATCGATCCCTCGCTCTCCTGGCTCTCGACACTGTATCCCTAGACTCTGCCCCACCCGGATCGGACCTCGCCCCGTCGTCTAGCCCGCCGCCATGTTTTGCGCAAGTGAGTCTCATCGGACCCCCCGGAGCCTCTGGTACTTTTCGGACCAAGCTGATGATGCCTCTTCTCCCTCCCTCGATCGATCTCATTGCACGTCGCAACAGTCTCGGGCGAGCCGCCAAAGGTCGCTGTCGTCTCGAAAAAGAGCGGCCTGATCTACGAGCAGCGACTCATCACCAACTACATCAACGAGAACGGCAAGGACCCTGTCACCGGCGACGAGCTGCAGCTGGACGATCTGATCGAGATCAAGTCGAGTGAGTCGCCGCCGTCTCTTTGTCCCCAGCGCCGCCCCGACTGGCCGCCTCCTCTCCTTTCACCAGCAGGCGGATGTCCGCTCGCCGGCAGGCACAAATGATGATATCCGTTGCTCAAAAAAACTACATATCAACTAGAAGCTGTTGATGAGCCCGAAAGGGCGTTGACTACACTTTTGGATCTGACCACGTAGCCTGCGGCGCACGCGGACCGACGCTTGCCTGGCAGGATGGGAGAGGAACGCTCGGGACCCTAGAGAAAACTGGGAGGCCATCTTGGCGTTCGCAGCAGCTCTGACCGATATTCTCTTGCCAACCCTCCGCCAACAACAGGCCCCAAGACTGCCATTCCGCGGCCGCCAACACATAGCTCCATCCCGTCGCTGCTCACCACCCTGCAGAATGAGTACGACGCCATCATCATGGAGTCATTTACGCTCAAGAAACACTACGACAACCTGAGGCAGGAGCTCGCGCACGCCCTCTACGCCAACGACGCCAGCGCGCGCGTGATTGCCCGGCTGATGAACGAGCGCGACCAGGCGAGGGAGGCGCTCGCCAACATCCAGGCCACCATCGGTGCCGGTGGTGCGGCAGCGTCAGGCTCGCGCCAGACGCAGGACGTCGAAATGGCCGAGGAGGCGCCCGCCGCCAAGGACGGCGGACTTGCGGCGAGCGTCATTGAGACGATCGACTCGACAGCGCAGAGGCTGTCGGCGCAGCGCAAGGCCAAGTCAAAGCGCAAGGCGCCTGAGGGCTACGCCACCGCCGCCGACATCGGCTCGTTTGCCGAGACGCAAAACATCCCGTCGATGCACAGCACCAAGCCGCCGGGCGTCACCTGCCTCGATGTCTCGGCGGACGGCAACCTGATCGCCACGGGTGGCAACGATAAGCAGGTCCAGATCTACGACCGAACGGCCAACAAGGTGCTCGCCACGCTCAAGGGACACACCAAGAAGGTCACGCGCGTCGCCATCGCCGGCACTGCCGACCCGCCGATCGGTGCTGAGGCGGCGGCTGCGGACGGCGAGGCGCAAACCCTGCCGGCATTCGTGCTGAGCGCGAGCGAGGACAAAACGATCAAGGTTTGGGCTCCGTCGGGCTCGACCTCCGCGAGGGCGGCAGCGTACAAGCTTTCGCAGACCGTGTCGACGCACAAGGGCGAGGTGACGGGACTCGACATCCATCCATCCGGCTCGTTCTTTGGCTCCGCATCGCGCGACGGCACCTGGGCGCTCCACTCGGTCGAGGACGGCTCCTCGCTGCTGGTCGTCGACGCCCCCGCTGCCGGTTCCGAGAGCGAGGAAGAGGCCAAGGGCGGTTACGAGTATGAGAGCTTCGCCTTCCACCCAGACGGCCAGCTGGCAGCCACGGGTACCGCCGACGGCACGATCCGGGTCTGGGACATCAAGCAGGGCGCCAAGGTCACGACCTTCCGCAACCAGCTGCAAGGGCGGGTGTCTTCGCTGCACTTTAGCGAGAACGGCTACATGCTCGCCGCCTCCAGCGAGGCGAGCGAGGTCGTCGAGGTGTGGGATCTGCGCAAGCTCAACCTCGCCGGCGCCATCCCCGTCGAGGGTGCGGGCGTGCAGAGCGTCCGCTTCGACCCTTCGCTCCAGTTCCTCGCCGTCGTCGGCAAGGACGTCAAGGTGTTTGCCAACAAGAGCTGGAAGCCCCTCTTTACTTTTGACGGCAACGCCGCCGAGCTCACCGACGCCAGGTGGGACAACCGGTCTGGAAGCCTCGTCGTCACTGGCCTTGACAGGACGGTGCGCGCCCTCGGCAAGGCCGACGAGTAGCGGTGGCGCGGTGAAAAGAGACGCTCCTTTCTGGCCTGCTTCCTCCCTGTACAACAATTCCTCCGCCCGATCTGCACGAACTACACGCCACCTCCTGCTCAACGGAGCACAGGTGGCCTTGCACTGTCGATCTCTCTCCTGTTCGAACGGCCCAGGACCTGCCTGAGGCTCAAAGCCGTACTGCCCAGCGTCTGGAACGCGCAGCGGGCCTGCCCGAGACGGCTGCGCTGTTGCTCGCTGCTCTACCTGACAAAGCTCCAACCGCCTTCATCCTCCCACCTCGCACCGTTGCCGTTTTCCGCAGTCAGAAAGCGAGCAGCATTGTCCCTACGAGCCACAACGTGGACTCGCAGAGCACAGGCTAGGTGTGATCTCGACGCAGCGTTGGATTCGCGCGCTTTCTTCTCTCATTTTTGGCTGTTCGTCATCCGTATTGCGTGTACAACGTCTCGGGAGCCATACCCCCACGCTTCTTATCGACCCGGCGATGCTCATCCTGGATTGCATTTGGTTTTTGAAGACGAGGTCGTCGTTTCGCCTCAGAAGAAGGATCCGGCACCGGCGGCAGGTGCGCCGCCGCCTTGGGCTGCTTGGCCCATCTGCTGCATGTGTTCGCCCACTTTGGCGTTGACCGAGAAGAACTTGGATACGCATCTGCATCGGTCCGGCGCGGAACACACCGCATCAAGGAGAGTGAGTTGGGCAGCTTGACAAAGGGGAAAAGGGACGAGGAGGACGACGAAGGGGACGTACCGGTCGATGCAGACGCTCTCGCCCTTGTTGAGGTCGGGCTCGGCGTACCGTGTCGAGATGCACTTTGCGTGGCACGACGAGACGAGGCGGTTGAAGACGTCGGTGATCATATCGAGCTGTCGATGTGCAGCGCACGGCCAGACGTGAACGTGGGAGAAGAAGGTAGCGTGTCAGTTTGGCCGGGCACCGACCAGGGAAGATGTGCGAGCCGGGGCGATGTCGCTCACCTCTGCCGTGGCCGCCTCGATCTGGGCGCTGCTGACGGCCTGCGGGCTGGCGCCGCCGTTGTTGCCGCCTCCGAGTCCGAAGAAAGACATGTTGCTGGATCTCGCGGTGGTGATGGAAGGAGTGAGGTGGTTGCGGGATCGAGCGATGGAGTGTGCGTGGTGGGTGCGAAGGAGAAGCGGGACGGGTCGCCCGCTGGGCCTTTGAGCAAGAAATCAGAGGTGGAGGGCGTTTCGGCCGACAGGGGAACGAGGCGCGCAAAAGGCGCCCGATGCCAAGCCGATCGGCTGCCCACGCCTGCTACGAGGACTGTCAGATTGCGCCTCGGCTGCTGGCCCACCTCCCTGCCACCACGACTTGGTTTCTTCCTTCAAACAACGTCGACCTCGCTCACGGGCAATCAGCGGCTTGCACATGTGCCGTACATAGCCTCAATTGGCTCAAGGGACGAGGCTGGATCTGCGTTCGGAAGAGACAAGCCGAATTCAGATCGTCTCAAGTTACGGGACACGCGACCACGCATTGACTTTCAGGACATCGCGACAACCGTGGAACAATCGAGGCTCACAGTCGAGGATTGGGCCTCCAAGAAGCCTTCGTGACCAGAGAGACGTGAGCTCGGGCAAGTTTAAAATGTCAGAGGGAGTGTTGTATTGATGGCAGTCCCGGTCGATCCTCGGAAAGAGGATGAGGCGACTTTGGAGTACAAGAAAGCGAGGAGATGCAAAGGAAGGGAAAGGAATGCTAAACTAGAGAGGCAAGGCGAGGCGACTGGACAAAGGATCGTGACTGGTGGAGACTACCTGGGCGACAGGGGACAGGAGGATGCAGCGAGAGGCGAAGAGAGGAGCGAGCGAGATGCGAGCACCCGACCCAATCACTTCTGGCAGCCGGCGCCCCTGCAGTAGGCCGAGGACTCGGTGATGTAGGTGGGGTCCTGCTGGCCGGCCCAGTTGGTGGCCTTGTCGGTGCCCGAGCAGGCCCGGTACATGGCGCAGGTGAGCTTGCCCTTCTGGTACTTCTCCTGGGCGGAGGGGGGCAGCTCCGCGATGTCCTCGGGGCTGTCGGCGTTGTCCTGGTAAAGGTTGACGAAGACGCATCCCTCCTTGGCGTCGCAGGCGTCGAGGCAGTGGTCAAGGTCGGGGACGAGGCCGTAGGTGATGTAGTTCTCGTTGTCGATGGTGGCGGCGCCCTTGACCTGGCCCTTCCAGGCACCGGTCTCGGCGGTGGACTCGTAGTTCTTGTAGACCTGCTTGTAGCCCTGCGTGCACTGGCCATCGGGGCCGTCACCGCCGGGAGCGGGGCCGGGGCTGGGCTGGCAGTTCGGGGGGTTGGGCTGGGGCGTGTTGCCCTTCTTGCACCAGGGGTGGAGGAGGGCGTAGAGGGGGTGCTTGCACTTGGCAGACTCAGCGCCGTCCCAGGTGGGGATGCCGGGGATCTGGATGCCGTGGCACCAGTAGGGCTTGGAGGCGTGCAGCCAAGGGGCCTTGCAGAAGAAGTTCGACTTGTACTGCCAGAGGAGGCCAAAGGTGCGCTCCTCGAGCTGGACGGGCTGAGCCTCGGTAGGGGCGGCCTCGGCGAAGGTGGCGGCCATGATGGCCAGAGCGGCGGCGGCGGTGAGCTTGAGCGAGACCATTGTAAAGTTGGTTCGGGGGAAGCGAGAAGAAGAAGAGAGGTAGAGAGGAAAGAGGAGAGAGGAGAGAGGGGGCGAAGCCGATGAGGGAAGAAGAGCAAAGGGAGGAGGGGAGTGGATGTCTGTCTGCGTGAGCTGATGAGGAGAAGTGGACGACGATAGGCCAGGGAAGCTGGCTCTTTATGTGTCTTCACGGAGGGCCAGCTTTGACAGGAGGCTGCCCGTCACGAAGCTGCAACGTTGTCGTCGGGCCAGGGCAACGGTGGATAGGCCCTTCGACGCAGGGACTCGCTGAGGGCGAGGCTATCGTGACGATGCTAACAGAGACGGCGGCGGCGGCGGCGGCGGCGGCAGGCGCAGGGCAGCTAGGTACGATGCAGGCCTCTGGCAGCGAGCTGAGTTCCTAACGGGCGAGTGCAAGGGCTGTCCTCGAGCGGGATTTGCCGCCCCGCCTTGCCGTCCCACATCGAGAACGCGGCTCCGTACCCGTCCCATAGTCAGTCGGGGAGGACTACGTAGACCGTCTTGGGAGCTGTTCAGTGACGCGGGAGGGGGTGAAGGGAAGCAGACGTCGGACGTCCTCCTCCCCGTGTCTCGGCCTCCCCACCAACAGGGCAGGATCTCGATTGTACCTAGCAGCAGGCGGCGACGGCTCCATCGTAGGCCATGGCCAGCATGGTTCCGCGCGTGCTTCATCGACATGCACCTCCTCGCTAGGCTAGGAACCACGGCCATCGCAAGGAGAAGGTCTCGACAACTCGTCTATGCCAGGTGCTTGAGTCAGACCTTACATCACCGCGAGGGATGCAGGTTGTTCATGGACGAGCGAGGTAGGAGGTGACGCCCTCGCACCGATATGAATTCCAGAGATGAGGTAGGTCCAGGTCCAGGCGGGGCCGCTGCGTACGGCGACCCATGCGCGAGCGCAGCAGCAGCAGGAAGAGTCTCGCCTACGCCGGCGAGCATCAGTTGAAGAAAGGGGACAATTGGAAGACAGAAGAAGGGAGGAAGCCGAAGGGGCCCAGACAGGGCCAGGACCGCATCGAAAGCGAGAGAGACGGGCAAGAGGGGCTTCACTGCCGCAGATCATCCGGGCATGGCGACCCGCGAGCGAGATTCTGGAACGAGTACGTTAGGCGGCCTCATCACCAGGGACGTGCAGGCCTAGGGCAGATTCCGGGGCCAGGCAGGGCAGCGAAGCGCACCAAGCGGGCACCTCGAGACGAGGCTCCATCGAGGATCTGCAGGGGAGGACGAAGGCACTATACCGCCAGGAACGCCCTATTTGCCTGCAGATCGAAGCGGGTATCATCGATCTCAGTCTGTTGCCAAGAGGCGAAGGCAACGCACGGCAAGAATTGCCTTTGGTTCGGATCGCGTCGGTCGAATGGTCCGGTACCTGCTTGGCGACAGGAAGATGTCGGTGCCTCCCGCCGTCTTGCCCACCCTTCGCCCAAGCCATGGCCTCGACCATGACTGTGCCGCGACGATGGGTGATGCGACCCTGTGGTCTGCCTCGAGATCGTACCGAAAGCGGGGACAGCTGCGATGGGACCGACAGCCCGTCGCTCTTCCTTGGTACAGTAAGTACTGCAACGGCCACCCGCACCGGCCTACAGGCGCCCTTCTTGGTGTCCGAGACCGGGAGACCGTGTGCCGCAAGGCCAAGGCTCCGATCGGTCAACCTTCGAGCTGCCGAGGAGGATTCTTCTGCTCTTTTCTGTGCGTCGAAAGCAAGTAGCAAGGGGAGACACCTCGTCCATCTACTCGAGACCATGACTGTCCCGTGTTCCATCCTGCTTCTCTCGCGGAGCAGCAGAAAGGCGGCGTCGAGGCGGCGGCTGGGAAAAAAGGAAAGACGCGGGCAGCGGCGGACTTTGACAGAGGGATGCACCCAGCGTCCCGTGGCCTGCACGGGGGGCGGCGAGACGGGGCTACGGGCAGAAGTCTGGCCAGGCGGAGCGGGGCGTTGGACATGGCAGCTGGGACCTGCTAGACGCCCACGCCCACGTACCTATCGGCCCAACTCCGCCCGGCCACCTCTCACCAATGGGAATCTTTGCCCTGGTGCCGTACGGCCGACGCGGTTTTCGCCGGTGAGCAAAATAAGAGTGGCCGCCGCTTTGCTCGTCGCTTGCATCGCTCCCCCCGATGGCCGCAGAGCATGCTGCGCAGTGACCATCGTCACCATTGACTATAGGGTGTAAAGCAGCGATTGCCCGGTCTTTCGGTTCCAGCGGGCGGCGACACCCGCGTGTATCGCTCATGCTGTTCCGGGGAACCTTCAATTCTTTCCCATCATTGTCGACACACAACGCAACTCGCCGGCGAATGGAGGGAGCAAAGACGCAGTAAGACATCGGCCGATGACGAGAAGGGACTTGCTTGTCAGGCTCCTCCTGATCTCGAACCAAGCCGCTGCGGACGAGGATTCATACGCCTGCTTTTGTCAAGCTGCTTTTGTCAAGCTGCGGCGGCCTGGAAGGCTTTGGCTTGGCATAAGATGCGGATCCAGATCTGGGCGTCGTGCAGTCTGTACGCGGGAGGCCAGCGAGTTTCTGCCCTGCCTGGGGGTCTCGCGTATCGAAGCCTGGCCATCCCCCGGGTGCGGTGCAAACAAAAGAAAATCGAGACACAAACCGGCGCCCGGGCCGGAGGGTGCAGGCAGGCGGGCGAAGTGCGCGAGATCTGGATATCTTCTGTGACCCCCCACGTCCAACCAACGGCTTGCCCGTCGTCGATCTCGAACACCGGTGCACACAAACAAGGCGCTGTCTCTCCATCCTGCCCAGCTGCCACACAAACAGCGCCGCGTGGTGGATGAGGGTGGGGCCTGAGACGGTCCGGCATCGGCGATTGGCCTCGACATCGCCCGCCGTCATCGTCGGTCGCTGCCCTCTTGCTTGCTTGGCATCCTAGGAAGCGGCACCTTGCGCGGTTCTTCCATAGGCCGATGGGTACTGTTACTGTTCCTGTACCTGGCCGTCGAGCTTGCTCATGAAACATCCGCCGCACATCGAAGCAAGCGCATCTCATTATTGTTTGTTGAGTCAGCCGTGCGACCTTGCTCGTACATACTTCTCACCACCGCCTTGGCGCCTCGACGGTCTGCGAAGAGGTTCGAGAACAGGTTGGCACGCAAGCAGGCAGGCGGAACTCAGCCTGGCCGGTCGACGCGCCGTGCACGCCGCGCAACCCCGTCGAGGGGCCTATGGTGGCCCTTGCTTTCCAGGTCCCGAGGCCATTATCCCCTTGGCCGCGGCTCCCTGCTCACGCACTCCTCTTGTCACTGTTGCGTTCGCATCTGCTGCGGCGGAAGCTGAACTCAAAAGGGTGCGACGATCATTCCAATGTCGGTACCGTAGCTGTCGACGAGGCGTGCTGATCAGGGGGTTATGAAAAGGAAGGAAGAAAAATCCATATGAGAGGAAGCTGGCGGGCGGCGATGGGGGTGGTGGCGAGTGCCGGGCCGCGAGCCCTTTCTTCGCCTGCCTTGCTCGCATGGAAGCGTCGAGTCGTCGTTAGCGCTCCCGACTTCTCGGCTGTGCATCCGTGCGTGCATGTATGGGTTCCATCGTCGAGGCAAGCAGAGATCAGAGCAAGGCGCCAGGGGACCTGGGGAGGGCCAGATTCGGACTCCGTCGGCTGCTGCCGCTGCATGAGTACAGTACGCCCGCTTTGCCGTGCCTTGCCTTGCCTTGCCTACTCACCTTGCCTCGCCCTGCACATGCAGAGCAGGCAGGCCTGGCCGTGCAGAAGAGAAGCTGGCGCGTACGATACGATGTCGTCGAGCCAGGCTCATGCATCGGGTTGTCCCCGACGGCGGCGCGGCATGAAAAACCGTAAAACCCTTTGAGTCGGTGGGTGGCCCGGACCTTACCTTGTCTTCGCTGGCTGCCCATGGAAAGCTGGGTTCAAAAAGTTCTGGATCATCCCGCAGCGCTGGCGGCTCAGTCGTGGCCTGGCCTGCTTCTAGTTGTCGCTCTGCCTCTCTCTCTTTCTGTGTTCTCAAGGATCGACAGATCCACGGCTGGCAAGCAAGAGCTGTGGTCCACGCTGATCAGGTTCTGTATTGATCATATCGGCTCTCTGTACGCACAATACGAACCGAGGTTCTCCCGTCGTCGGCCAGTGACCGCGTCGGGGCATGCCGAAACACACTCACACCTCACGCACGCACGCACACTCCGGCTGGGCTCAATCTCGCTGAGACACTGTACGACTGCGAGATGGCGGCGTGGAAGTCTTCTTTGAACGGTTCCTCGCTCCCGGCCCGCGATTGCAATGGGAACGAAACCAGGCAGAGCACAAGTAAGGTCCAGCATCGGCAAATGGTCGATGGAATCCCGGGTTCGCCGCCTGACCATTGATGTTGGCCGCGAAGCGAAGACGGTGCTTGCTGAATTCTTCAGACTCTCGAGAGCATCCTCTTCCTTTTCCGACGGACAATCGGCCAGGCTGTACACGTGCCAGGGGCGCTGACCCGGAGCAAGGCCTGGCCGGTGTACGCAAGTGTCGCCCGCTCACTCCGGTGCGCTACCGTAGCATCTTTTCCCAGACGAAGAGTGGAAGAAGGATGGTGGATTCGAGGCCTCGCAGGGACCAGATTCTATGCATTTGCAGGGTCATGCTGATGTACAAGACAGATTGTAGAACGAGTGTGTGTCGGCGCGGGCCTGCGCAATGGAAGGCGGCCCGACGCGATCAAAGGTCCAAAGGTGACAAGAGGCAAAATGAAAGTGGAAGGACCGAGCAATGCTATCAAGCAAGACGAGAGAGAGCATGAAGGTGCCAAAGCCATGACCGCCGCACGACTGCGGGCGCAGCGCTTAGAATGAGAAGCGCAGCAGGGCGGGGTTGAGGACGATGGGGTAGAGGATGTGGAGCGACGAGGCGAGGATGAGCGGCCAGATGGTGAAGAACGACGGGATCTGCCACTCGAGCGGGACGACGTTGTCGAGGCTGAGGACGACGATGCCGGCGAGTAAGATGGTGCAGAGCAGCAGCGTCTTCCAGAAGCGCCGGAAGATGGCGGGCACCTCGATGAAAAAGTTGCTGTCCTCGAGGTCCTTGACCGTTGCGCCCCAGGTCATGTTGATGCCGAACGGGTGCGAGAGCAGCGCCGTCAGGACGTGGTACGACATGCCGCCGAAGAAGGTCATCATGAACGGGATCCAGATGATATGCTCCTTGGCCAGGGCCAGCAGCCCACCCTGCTTGGACCGGTATCGGCAGAGCGCCTGCGACACGTTGCCGCCAATGACGAAGACGAAGACGACGGCCAGCCAGATGCGGAACGGCGTCAGGAAGACGGGGTCCAGCACCGGGTAGAACCAGCCTTCGACCAGGTAGAGGATCGCCGTGAGCGGCAGCGCGGCGGCGATGGCGTAGTAGGAGAAGATGTAGCTGCAGGCGGCAAACTTGTAGTGGATGGGGATACCCTTGACCCAGAGGAAGTTGCGGAAGAGGGGCGTGAAGGGCGACTTGTAGGGCCACTCCCAGAGCCGGTTGAAGACGAGCTCCGAACAGCCGAAGGCGTACTTCTGCCACCGGTTGAGTTCGTCGTCGCATGTGAGCGAGACACCCTCCTCAAACTTGTTGTTGCTGTACGTGGCCCAGCGGGTGATGTAGCCCTTCATAAGCAGCCGGAGCGCCTGTTGGAAAGGAATGCGAGGAGAAAGGGGGCGACGCGTCACGGTCAGTCTCGGCCCGCTCCCGCTGGTTTGAGGGCAATCGGTGCGGTTCCTCGCGACCACTCACCATGTCAAAGTCTTCGGAGACGTGCGATTCGGACCAGACCTTGCGGATGCCGTCCTCGGCGTCGACGAAACTCGCCTCCTGCACCGCTGACCAGCGCAGGAAGGCGTTGTGGCCCATGAACGGCGCCACGTCGCCGCTGGCCACGACGTAGGTGATGGAAAAGTTGACGAGGCGGGTGAAGAAGGCGATACCGCGCTCAAAGTAGCTGTCCGAGACGAGCATGACGCCGCTGCAGTGCTGGAGCACGCCAACGTCCGGGCACTGGGACATTTCCGAGGCGGCGTCGAGGAAGCAGTCCTCGGGCACGCGCGTGTCCGAGTCGATCATGAGGATGAGGTCGCCGATGCGCACGTTGCCCTCGGCCTGGGCCAGCGGGTGGATCTCGGTAGCGGCGAGCGGCAGGCAGGTCTGGTAGAGGTGCTCCTCATCGGCCTCGGTCCACTGCGACAGGTCGGCGGGACGCTGCTCCCTCATCATCTCCTCGACCTTGAGCGAGACCCGGCAGGTAAAGTTGAGGTTCGACGCCTTCTTGAAGCGTCCCTTGCGGATGTAGCCGTCGACGCCGTGGCCGGGGCGCGAGACCCAACCGATGTTCTGCCTCTCGTAGTACTCGCGGCGGACCTCCTGGTCCTCCTTGCTGATCAGCTGCATGCCGTCCTCGGAGACGACGATGGACGCCGTGCCGCCCTGAAGCTCGTAGGTGCTGATGGCCTTCTTGAGCGATTCGATCGTCGGGATCAGTACGCCGTCGAGCGACTCCTTGTAGACAGGCATCTGGATCGTAATGTGCGGTAGGCGGCCCGTCATGCGCTCCGGCGCCACGCCCGAGTAGTAGCGCGAATTCTGGCTCAGCTGGCGCACGGGACCGATGAGCTGGAGGATGACGGTGAAGATGTTGCCGCAGAAGAAGAGGATGACCGGAAACATCGGGATGACCGCGATGCCGATCAGCATACGCATCCAGTTGCCGTCGAGGAGCGACTCTTGGAAGAGCTGGCGGAGGAGCAGGAAGCAGAGCGCAATGTCGAGGGCCACCGACAGGCCGTGCTGGAGCGGCGCCTGGAGGTTGGTGCTGCGCTCCTGGTAAGAGACCGCCTGCCCCTTTTCCGGGTCGGCGACGCCGGTGGTGGCCGTGGTGGCCACGGAAGCGGCACCTGGCGTCGCGTCGCCCGCAGGGCGGACGGCGTTGGTGTCCGAGAACGGTGAGCTGTGCGTGACCGAGGCGGCTCGGATGGGTGTCGACGTGCCCGAGGCGTGGTTGAGCTGGCTCATGCTCTGGCCCCGCTGCTGCATGCTCCACTCGAGGAACGACGAGTCGCGCGGCTTGCCTCCCTGAGGGCGTCCCGAGGTGGCGCTCGACCACACAAAGGCGATCATCTTGTCCTCGAGGCGCTGGGCGCTCGACTCGAGCTGGTCGATGTGGTCGCACCAGGCCACCAGCGAGTTGTCGGTGCGGATGAAACACGCGTTCTGCGCTTTTCGCGCGCCCGCGAGGTCGGCCATGGTCTCGACCACCTGGACGTGCTGCGACGACGTCAACGGCACCTGGTACGTCCCCGGTACGAGGCGGCTGGTGATCGCCGAGACGACCGGAGAGGTGAGCTTGATGGCCACCTCAACGTTGAGGATTGCGACGGAGCGGTAGAAGGCCTCGAGCCGCGCATCGGCCGCCGGGCATAGTGTGTACTGGCCCTTTGCCAGGCGCAGCGCCACTCCGCTCGCGACGGCCGGGTTCTCGCTGAACCAGTTCTTGCTCTTTGCGACCTTGTACAGGTGTGCAGTCATGATTTCGTAGGCCTCGCGTTGGTCGATCCAGCTGCCATCGTTGTCGCTCCGGGACGAGCAGCCGACCGACTCTGGTGCCGATTCGAGGTTGCCGATCCACGAAGGCGGCTCCCCTTGAGGTGTGGCCGACTGTAGGATGCTGACGGACGCATCGCCCGTTTGCGCCATGTCCACGGCCTTGATGGCGCTTCCCCTATGGGATGGGAGGAACTTCTTGAACATCTCGGGCGACTCTTCGTGCCTGGAAGGGTGCCGTGGAAGCGGTTGTCAAAGGTTGCGTATAGGAAGGAAATCGAGCAGTGCCCGGGCAGGGAACTCGGACGTCGCCAGAAGAGGGAGGGGCGACTAAAAAGGTGATGCGCAAGTGCGTTGCTGTGATGGGCGGGAGGATAGGGATTGGGTGCAAGTCCAGCGGAGGTGGGGGTATATGAGGAGAGAAAGAGGATCGTGCTTGATCACGACGACAACGACCACGTTGGCAACAGCTCAAGCAGGTGAAGGCTTCAGGCGGTCATCTGTTGTAGGTGGAGCGACTGCTGTGCGACCAGGAACGAGAGCCTCGCACTCCACTTCAACGACCTCTGTTCGCCGGTAAGTGTGTGATGGGTCAGGGATTTGGGCCTCAGGGTGGCATTCCCCATCATACCGTACCGTCGAACGCGAGACACAAAAAGGCCGGTGGCGAGGCTGGCCGTGCCTCTCTGCTTGGCGGGCAATGACCGACAAAAAAAGCACGGTCCGAGACATTCGCCTCGACCGCGAGTGGCCGAAGTGCGAACGATGATTGCAGACAGACATGGCAGAACGTCGGCGCGTGGCAAGGCGGACGGGCTACCAGCCAAAGTAGGCGTATTCGCTGGAAAAGACCCGGCAGCAGCCTGCACCAAGGCGAATCGCCTGCCCGAGGGTCGTCAAATCAGCAGCAAGGGATGTCGACGAGGCCTCTGCGGCTCAGGACCTCTTCCATGCGTTTAGGGTTCGTCTGTTCAGGGGGACCCCCGACACCTTCCCTCCAAGACAGGCGAGCTGCGGAGATCTACAAGTGCCGCCGCCCAGCAGCACGGCAGAGGGCGGACTGGCAAAATCCAGAAAGCGGGTTCTGGGTCGCAACGCGCCGCCAACAAGCTGGGCAGGCGGCATATCCCCCCTCAACCATCGAACTTCACCGGCTCTGAAGATCCGGCCAGCAGGATGCCGTGATGAGCGTCGTCCGATATTCTCCCGGCAGACGGCGTCGAGCCACGATTGCACATGCATAGGCACTGTGTGCTGCCCTGCGCAGCAGCCAACTGGCGCCACGGGCCTGCAGCGGCACGGATACCGCGATCGTGCAGCAGTGACGAGAGCGATGGGAGCGGATTTGCGTAGGTAGCAAGAGAGTAATCAGTGAAGCTGAAATCAGCTGCCCTACAGTACCATCGCCGTCATTGCGTGCCTGCAGACATCGACCAAATACCGATCGATGCGCTATCGGAGAACCCCGTACTCCGGAAGTGAAACCATGTAGCCACTCATGACGGCAATGAGGACATGGCGGGGGGTGATCGAGTCCGTGGGTCAGGGTACCGGTAGCGAGCGTGGTTGGGAGCGCGACTGCGGCCGAGAGAAAGCTCGCGCCCTCGCTGACCACTCACCATTTGATTCAAACGCGACATCATTGGGGGGACTAAAAAAGAAGTAGTGCGGCTCTAATCTTGTGTTAGTAGTGATTCAGCCAGGCTGCTGCTATTTCCATCTCGTCAGCGGGCTGGAAGCTGGGCGCGACCGCGACCGCGACCGCGACTTGGAGGCCGGCCTGCCATCCGTCGCCCGTCATGGTGATGATGTTGATGTTTCGCAAGGAGGAGAAGCATGGATTCGGCCGCAAGAGGCCGTATGGTCGCGGTGCGACGAAGACGGAGCCATGCGGCCGGTGTTTGACGGTGTGTTTGCGGAGGTGAGACTGTGGCTAGATGCTGAGCGGTCACCCTGGTAACAGATGCTGTGAGTGGAGCAGCGTGTGCGATGTCCCACATGGTACATACCCACACGGAGCGCGGTACGGTGTGGACGAGGATGCCTTGCATGTGGCAAAGACCGGCCTCCGGGTGGCGGCGGGTACTGTGGTGTTGCAGTCTCAGTCCTGGCCTGAGTGGTGGTGACGGGGTGAAGGGAGGGGAGAAGAGGAGAGGAGGAGAGGAGAGGCGCTGGCGTGGGTGGGGAAAATTCTGGGTCTAGGGAGAGGCCCTTCTTGTCTCGGCGTTGGGTGGCCTTTGAAAAATGGACAGGCAAATCCCCAGGGCTTGGCTTGCTGGGCGCCAAAGTCGCCGCCGCCGCCGTCGCCCGCCCGCCC